TGTGCTTTAATTACTTGTGTTCTGTCATTATTCTATAAGTTCACTGAGGTTTTGTATCATGTCTCAACCAGCTTTGTATTCTTATAGTTTTCAACAGTCCTGCTGCTGGTGGTGGTTATGTGCCGTGGAGTCGGTTCTGACTCATATCTACCCTGCATAGGAATTCTGAAGCTGTATGTTTTTATGGGAGTAGAAAACCTCATCTTTCTCCCATGGAACAACTGGTAGTTTTGAACTGCTGACAGTGCTAGAGCAAAATAAATCATGCTTATTTGTTGAATGAATAAACAATTTACCTTAAAATCTCAAAAAAGTTATCACTATATTTACAGGTAAAATTTCCTAAATTCTGAAATAAGGACACCCAGAAAAGCATATGGAACCAAGGAACAATGTGACTGAGTTCATCCTCCTAGGGCTCACTCAGAGTCTCCAGGGTCAGAAAATCTTGTTTGCTGTGTTCTTGCTCATCTACATTATGACAGTGGTGGGCAACCTCCTCATTGTTGTGACTGTGGTGATGAGCCCAACCCTGGATGCCCCTATGTACTTCTTTCTTGGCTACTTATCTTTTATGGATGTTGTTTATTCTACATCAGTTACCCCAAATATGATTGTAGACTTGCTCTATGTGAAGAAAACCATTTCTTTCCAAGGTTGCTTGGCCCAGCTTTTTATAGAACACTTATTTGGTGGTGCTGAGATTTTACTTCTGGTAGTCATGGCCTATGACCGCTATGTGGCTATCTGCAAACCTCTGCATTATATGACCATCATGAATCAACATGTGTGTGTTCTACTGTTGCTGTTGGCCTGGTTTGGAGGATTTGTTCATGCTGGAGTTCAACTTCTCTTTGTTTACAACCTTCCTTTCTGTGGTACCAATATCATTGACCACTTCCTCTGTGACATGTACCCATTATTAAAACTTGCCTGTACAGACACCTATGTCATTGGTCTCAGTGTGATTGCCAATGATGGAGTGATATGTGTGGTCATCTTTTTGCTGTTACTCATCTCCTATGGAGTCATCCTGAACTCCCTGAAGAATCTTAGTCAAGAAGGGAGGCACAAAGCCTTATCCACCTGTGGCTCCCACATCACTGTGGTGGTCCTCTTCTTTGTCCCCTGTATTTTTATGTATGTGAGACCTCCTTACACCTTACCCATTGATAAATACCTGACTGTGTTTTACACTGTTTTCACACCTATGTTAAACCCCTTAATCTACACTCTGAGAAATGCAGAGATGAAAAATTCCATGAAGAAACTTTGGACCAGAAAAACAAACTAAGGTGCCAGAGAAAAGCATCCCCTACTTTTAATTGGTTTTGGCTCTTCCAGGAAAGCAAAAGAAAACTTCAAGTCACTTGACGTCAAATTGATTCTATGAAATCTGTGAGTTATATTTAACTGTGGTAAATATTTCCTCACATTAAGTAATGTATGCATGATGAAAAACATGTATTGGACATTTCCAATGACAAATTTTGTCAAAATATATATTTAATATAATTATTTTAAAAATATATTTCATTTCTTTTTTTTATGTAAAGTGATTTCATTGAGTCTATGAATCTATACTCTCTATGATGACTTTGCCACAATTAATACCAGAAATTTATTTTATTTGAAGGGAGATTGTCTTAAATTTACTTAATAGTTTTTCACAATTAATAGTGCTCAGAATAATTTAATGTCAGAAAAATATAATTCAAATCAACATATAGAAATATTGTCCACCTTACCTCATACAGGTGGAGGTTTGGAGAAAAAAGAGGAAGACCCTAAGCAACATGGATTGGCAAAGTGCCAGCATCAATGGGCTCAAGTGTGGCAGCAATAGTGAGGTTGGCCCAGGATTGGGCAATGTTTCTCTCTGCTGTGGATAAGGCTGCTATCTATGAGTCAGGACCAACTTGATGGCACCTAACACCACCAACAACAACACAACCTCATACAGAGACATTAGAAGTACATTTTTTTTTTTTTTTTTTGGTATCTGGAGGTTATTTTAAATATGAAGTTTTGCTTATTTTACTGAGTTGAACAGTAAAGATAATTCAGAGCTCTAAACTGATAACAAGGAGAAAAAATGTACAAAAAAATCTGAATAAACAAACCATAAAAACAACTTAATTTTTATTGTCCTATTTAGAAATGACATATTCTTCAGAAGTGATGCAATTTTACTTGATGTCATATTGCCATAAGATGACACATCATCTTCCTAGATAGGTTACTATATCTGGTAACAGCTTTATTGCTTTCCAATATTCCATCTTCTGTTAGAAAATATTTCATGGATTTCCAACAGATTAGCAAAAGTCACAATCAATGAGTTTCAAATTTACTATACAGAATTTGAAATGGGATTAATTTGTATTACTTCATTGTCCAGAAAGATGCTGAGAATTTATGCTGTTTCCATTCTCACATCACTTGCAAAGGGAGTACTGATTACTAGGTAAAAAAGAGCTAACAGCTTTGCGAGAGGCGGCACTTGATGGCGGCTAGGGTGGAGGTGCAGAGAAGGTCTCTGTCAGCAATAGCACAGAATACTAGGCAAAACAGAGCCAGGGCAAAGCTCCAAAACTCGGAATCACAGAGATAGGAATATTTTAAAGGTTTGAAGGCTCATAGCTTGTGGAGTTTGGAGCTGACGTCAAAAATCGCATACTTTTGAATCTCCCGGGTAGGGCTCAGAGGCCTGAGCCACCAATATCCTGGGTGAGACCAAGTGGGGGGACGAAATAGGGGCCACAGAGACACCATGGAAAAACGCCGCGGGAACCTTGGTACAAAGGTGTACAATATAGTTTGTAAGTTTTCCTTTGCTCTGATTTTCTTTTTTTCTTTGGTATCTGGTAATTGGGGCACTCACTGTTTGCCCACCTCCATTCTGGGGAATAGAGGGACAGCCTGAGCCGAGTGGCCACCCCCCACCCTCACCGCTGGTGGGTTCTTCTGCCATAAACCCGCACAGATACTCAGCCCAAGCG